AAGGGAACGATTTGGATCCAAAAGTTTAATGCCATGGTTAGATTTTATCTTAATACTTTTCTCGTAGTTGCGGATGCTTGCGAGGGGGTTATCATAAGTAGGAGGTTTGTTCAAGTAAGAACAACACCTAAGCGCCGGTCCACCCACATATCAAATTATCAAAGTAGCGAACACGAATCAAACCAATATGATGAAGTGACATGGTGAAATTCTCGTGTACCCTCAAGAACGCTTTGCTTATCATAAGAGACCGTTTTGGCCTTTCCTTTGTCACAAAAGGATTGGGCTACCTTGTTGCACTTTATTTACCATTACCATTACTTGTCCGTTACAAATTATCTTGCTATCAAACTACCTGTTACCGACTATTTCAGTGCTTGCAGAAAATACCTTGCTGAAAACCACTTGTCATTTCCTTCTGCTCCTCGTTGGGTTCGACACTCTTACTTATCGAAAGGACTAGGATTGATCCCCTATACTTGTGGGACATCAATATTTTTGGTTTTAATATATGATAAAAAGTAGACCCGGGGCCCATAGTTTTCATTAGAGGCTTCTCTCTTGAAAGTAGCATACGATGGTAAACAAATTACTGTTGAGCAATTGATAGAAAAGCAAATAATTATAACGATATCCAAGACAATGATCATGTATATAGGCATCACCTTCGAGACAAGTAGACCGACTCCTGCCTGCATCTACTACTATTACTCCACACATCGACCGCTATCTAGCATGCATCTAGAGTATTAAGTTCATAAAGAACGGAGTAACGCCTTAAGCAAGATGACATGATGTAGACAAAGTAAACTCACGTATGAATAAATCCCATCTTTTTATCCTTAATAGCAACGATAAAATACGTGTCATGTCCCTTTCTGTCACTGGGATTGAGCACTGCAAGATCGAACCCATTACAAAACACCTCTCCCATTGGAAGATAAATCAATCTAGTTGCCCAAACCAAATCAATAGATCGGAGAGAAATATGAAGCTATAACAATCATGCATAAAGGGGTTCAGAGAAAACTCAAATAATATTCATGGATAGATTTGATCATAAACTCAAAATTCATCGGATCCCAACAAACACACCGCAAAATGTCATTACATCAAATAGATCTCCAAGAACATCAAGTAGAACATTGTATTGAAGATCAAAGAGAGAGAAGAAGCCATCTAGCCCCTCCGGCAGAGTACCGGAGAAGGCCTGCAGACGGGATCTCGTGGTTCTGGAGCTTGCGACGGCAGAAAAAGTATTTCAGTGGCCCTCGGCCAAACAAATTCAGTAGCATAAATATCACCCTCATCGTCCGAGTGATCACTATCATATTCAACCATATTCATCTTAGGACGATCAACTTTATATTTATGCACTTCTTTGAGATCTTTGCTTTGGCTTTCTGAGCCAAAGCCCTTTGTAAAACTTTGTTGATATTTAAAAACTCATAACCTTCTAGCTTTTCTCTAATGTGAGTTCTCAAACCACTAAGTACAAGATCAACCAAATCTCTCTTGGTTATCACCAAACTATAACACCAGTTTTTTGTATCTCTAAATCTCTTGACGTAATCGGAGATCGGTTCATCATGCTTCTGCTTAACCGATGTAAGATGTGACAACTTAAGTTCATTGTCGCCACTACAAAAATGATCATGAAATTTCTGTTCTAGCTGCGGCCATACACGAATAGAACCATGTGGCAAAGAAGAAAACCATGAAAATGTGGTGCTAGTAAATGATAAATTAAATAAACACACTTTCAATTCATTTAGTGAGCCCGCTTCACCTAATTGTGCCAAATATTGACTAACATGCTCCCATGTGGTTTTCGTGCCCTCTCCATTGAACTTAATAAAATCTTGAATTTTATATCCTAGAGGGCGCTGAATCACATCAAAGTACTCGGGATACTGTTTTTGATAAATCTGATTCCTAGGTAATTCAACACCAAAATTTTCTCGAAGCATCATAGCCATCTCCTCTCTAAAATTAGCTAGAGCATCATCCGTAGTAGACAATGAAGCTTACTGCAGTGGCATAGGTGGAGTAGGATTGCTAGTTGTAGGTAAGAACTATGGCATGTACGCCGAACCATTGTTCAGTTGTGGCCTAGCGGCGTTTGCACCTACAGGTAGGGTTTGGTTTGGCGTTGCCACCGAACTTGGCATACTCAAGATAGGATTAATAGGTGCAGCCACGATATGATTAGTATGGGTAGGGTAATAATTCATCGGCATGGGAGGTGTCGATGATAGAGGTAAAGCTGGACTAGGTTTTTCTGCACTAGCATGCATGCCAACATTACCACTAGATGATCGAGGCATATTTTTCTGAGCATTATTATTCTATAAGAAAGTTTGATAAATTAGATTATTACCATCAGCAATACGACTCTCAATCTCATCCCATTGTTAAGGAAAAAAGGTAGTACTCACAGAGGATTTAACCTGCTCGGCTTGAAGAGGAGGGAACTTGATTTCTCCAATCGGAGTGATATTGCCTTGGCGATCCTTCTTGAAGTTTCCAAGAAATTCCTACAGTTCCTTCTCTTCACGTGCCTTCTTGTACTCCTCATAAATTTGGCGATGATCGGCCCATAGTTCATCAAGACTGGGCTTAATGATGTTACCGGCGTTTACCTCAGATGGCTTGGGAAGATCGGACATGACGGATGATGATGATTGACCTTTAGTCCCCAGGGGAGTCGCCAAAAAGTGTGTTGACACATGAACACATCACGTGTACCCTCGACACTGGGGGTGATGCACCGCAGCTCACGTCAAAGGAGACCCGATCGACAACGCAGGACAGTCGGCGGGCACTTTTGCAGATCCGAAACCCCACACGCCCGGGAGGGACCCCGTCAAGGAGTGTGACGACTATGGGCTGCCCTAGGTCGATTTGCTCGCCCGTAGAACCTCGGGATTCGCAGCTCTCACGAAGAACAGTGAAAATGAGAGAAAAAACAATGTTGGGATAAAACGTAGATGAAAAAATAGTATATTGATTTGTTTGATTGTGTGTTTTTCAATGGCCGTCACTACTCATCTATTTGTGAGGCGGCTGGACTTCCCATACAAGAAAAGGAATCCAAATCCGTCCAGATCTTTCCAAAACTATCCAGACTCGGATTTAGGTAAGTCTGAGACAACAGTTTGGTTTTTGAGACTCACAATGCACAAACGACCTCGGATGAAGATGAGCCCAAAAGCAAATTTAACCATTTCGACGAGAAACAACTTTCATGTTGAACTTTTTTTGATTCCAGGCCATCTTAAATACCTTAGAAGGCCATCTTTGACTTCCAGTCGGACTCAACCATGCAGTTTTTTGTCCATCTGAGCCTTGTAGCAACTTTGCAGGCCATATACTATCTCAGATGATGATGACTCCAAAAGCAAAGTTGACCATTTGACAATACGCACAACTTCCATGTAGAACACCTTTTCATCCGAGGTCATCTAGATAATATTTTCAGCCCATCTTCATCTTCTGGTCGAATTGGCCCTGACAGTTTCCGGGAAGCTTTCCACGGCAGCAAGCTTTTCACGCCGGCAAGCCTTTTGTGCCGACAAGCTTTTCACGCCGGCAAGCTTTCCATGTCGGCAAGCTTTTTACTCGGCCGACAATCCTTTAACGCCGACAAGCTTTTCATGCCAGCAAGCTTTATTCAGCCAGCAAAGGCCGAATAGCTCGCGCGACCCATCAGACACCACCTAGGTGGGTGTCTGGTCCCTCGCGTTACTTTTTCACTGAGGACCGGTCTGCATAGTGTTGCCTCTAACTTTTGCATAGGAACTCGGATTGGGATGATTTTTATATCAAAACCAACCGATTCGACGAGACGAAGACAATTCATGTAGAGCATTTTTTATTACCTTGAGGGATGTGGAGGGGAGGGATAGGAGTGACGGACGGGATCTAGAGGGAAGGGGAGGCGAACGGGAGGCGGAGGGCATCGGGGATAGGAGAAGCGACAAGTGTTGCCAATGGTGGCTTCAGACTTACCGATGTACCTTGTAAGAGCTTTGTGAATAATTAATAAAATGAGTGCATGCAATGCCCAGATGCAGAGGCCGGGGGTACATTCTCCTTTTCAAAAAATAAATAATTTATCGATGTTGAATTTCGCGTTTCAGCATCAAGCAGATTGAACATCACTGAAATGATTAAAGTATTTTGTGGCAGCTGTCAGTAATTGCACGCAACATATTGCTTCTTGTGTATCTTTAACTGTGGTATGCAAGCAACCGTTCTAATTCCAAATCAATTCAATTTTGACCAGAGAAAGATATCAGTTACTTCCTCCGTCCACGAATAAGTGTACTTCTAGTTTTTATCCTAAGTCAAAGTTTTAAAACTTTGACCAACTATATACAAATAAGTAGTAACATATATAATATCAAATTGATATATTATGAAAATACATTTCAAAACGAATCTAATGATACTAATTTAGTGTCATAAATGCTGCTACCTTTTCCTATAAAATTGGTCAAAATTTTAAAACTTTGACTTAAGACAAAAGCTAGAAGTACACTTATTCGCGGACGGAGTGAGTATGTGCCAAAATAGGACTTCCCAAAGTTTTCCAGAAGTAATTAACTTTAAGCATCATGATTCTCCAACAGCAGGAGCTCAACTTTACAGATTACAAGACTAGAAGGAGCACAGTGGATTTAGAATCATAGATTTATTATCCCACTATAGTAATGATTGTGAAAGTAAAAACATGGCTACGTGTAAGACTGTTAAAGTCAGGCACCGAGTGCCTTTCATCTAAAAAACTAGTGTTAAACTGAGTAAATTTGCTAACAAAATATGTCAAGCAATAGACAATGAATGCATAGTACCTTGCTTGAAACAAAAAAAATTGCAGCAGAGTTGCTGCAGTATAATTAATTCACTTGGCGCCTTACAAGGGGGTCACCGACATGAAAAATGAAACTATTCTTGAATTGAAAACTGTTCTTGACTAATACTAAATCAGTAAATCACTACAGAGGCAACTCGGCATTGGGATCAGACTGAGCATTGAGGTGATGCACAAGGAACAGCCTTGCACGGTTAACGGCTGCAAAGTAGAGACAGATGTGCTCCTCGAGGTCGGCGAGCTGGCGTAGCAGGCTAGGATGGTTCTTCCGGAGCTGCCGCACCACCTCTTCGATGGTGTGGTGCTGCCCCCTCCCACGCTCAAGCCCTAGCCTTACCAAGATCTTGTCACTCTCGACAGTGGCGTGGAGCCTGCCCACCAGCCGTTCAATGGTGTCAACGTCATTGTTGAGTACATAGGCGCCCCTGGCCGCGGCGTCAAGCCTGTCCATGTGTTGCTGCAGGCGTTTCATCCAAGCGGGGGTTGAGCAGCAGGAACCACGCGACGCTGCGCAGGCAGGAGCCGCGGCCAACAACGCGGTAATGGCGTGGGTGGCGATGACGAGGCCAGCGATCGCCGCCCCCGTCGCGCAGCCGATGAGGCAGATGCCAGACCCGCGCGTCGCGCACCGCAACAGCCGGCGCCTCCGTCGGGCCTTGAGGAGGCGGAGGTCGAGATGGGTTTTGAGGCCAGCAAAGCTCCGATGCATGCCCTGGAAGCTGGCTTCGGGAGGCAGGAACGGGTTGGGTATTTTGTCGAACAGGAGGAAGGCGTCAAACGCGCAGTCGCAGTGCGGCACGGCGAGAGGCGTGGCGTGCGGGATCAGCGCGAGAACATCCGCGATGGGCCCGTACAGCGCCCGCGCGCGGCGCAGCGCTCGGCGGAGGACGAGGCAGTGCAGCGACGCGTTGTGCGTGCTGCGGAGGTAGTCCGCGGCGAGGCGGGTGAGCTCCGTGTCCGGCGCGTCCCCGAGCGCGCGCTCCACCACCGCGTCCTCCGGACGGAGCACGCCGGCGAGGGTGCTCCTGTCCTCCTCGTCCTCGTCTTGGTCGCCGCCGTCAACCCGTTGGCCGTCCACGACCACGTGGATCTTGCCCCAGATCTCGTTGTAGGAGCTGGTCTGGATGGCGAGCGTGTACTCCTGGCTGAGGTTGATGGTCGCCCCCGACACGGGGCTGCTCCCCCACCCGCCCGCCGCCGCCGCACCACCGCCGGTCCTCCTCCCACCGCTACTAGGAGCGGTGCTCGAGCTCGTGCTCGCATTCGCGCTACTGGTGTTAGCGCCCGCGTTGGAGCAGGCAGCCTCGTCGTCTTCCTCTCCGTCGTCCGTGTCCCGGTCCCGGCGCTCCCACGGCCGCATCGCTGATGTGCTGCTGTTCTCGACTCGTCGGTGCGCAGGGAGCGCAAGCAACGAGCACAAACGAGGCAAGCAAGCAAGCAAGTTATAAGCGCGTGGGGGCCGGAGGTGGGAGGAGTACTGGAGTACTGCCCACTGGTGTGCGTCGTAAGCCAACGGCCAACGCCCAACGGGCACGAAGACGTTTGACCCGGGGGGCGGGGGTCCCGGTAGATCCAACGGCCCGCACTCGTGGTCTTGTGCGGCATCGTGCGGCTCTCAGGCTTCGCCGGTTGCAGGCGTGGGCCGCGTGATAGCCGCGCACTCGCGGTAGTTGAAGCGGAGACGGAACAACAGTCCCGTATTACTGAACTCTCTTGTGTGTGCATCTGGGGGGTGTGACAGTGCGAGGGAGAACCGGAGAAGACGAACGCGCGGGAGATGATAAGGGCGGCGTCTCCGCGGCCTCCGTCCGCCGTGCGGCTACGCAGCCGCGGCGCCTCCTCCTCCTCCTCCGCGTGCCCCTTCAGGGCCAGGGGGTCCGGAAGTAGGGTCGCGGCGACAAGTGGGAGGAGGTGGAGGAACGTTATCTCCTGCTGCTCGTCTGACGACCGGGAGGGGGCCCGCGGCGCGGCGCCTCTGGCTCCTTCCGACGGATCGATACAGCTCTACTCCCAGATCGAGAAGTAGGTGGTCGATAATTCCACGTCGTTTCTATCTGTTCACCACGGACTCTCTTATTAGTCGTAACATTTCGCTGCTGCGGCGGCTGGCGTGCAGGGTGATCACGGAGGCGGCAAAGCAGTCCAACCAGGGCTGGAGTTCCACCGGAGATTGGACCGAAATCGAGGTACCTTTCGGTAGGCTTTCACCTCTATTGCGAATTGCGACTGCCTTATGTCTGTGTTTAGCTGGATTGATCGATCCCTGGTGATTGCTTGTAGGGGGCGTGGGTGTTGAGGCCCAAGTCCTCGGCACCCTCGTTTGTCGTTCATTTTATTGGTGGGATTTTCGTCGGGGCCGCGCCGCAGGTCACGTACCGCTACTTCCTTGAGCGTCTCGCAGACAAGTACGTTCATAAGCATTGTCTAATGAATCAAATTTACTTCAGCAAACATATGCTTACTCTGTTCAACGGATAAATTACTGAGACTAGTAGAATGCCCGTGCGTTGCCACGGGCCAACAAATGAAATTGTGTAAACAATGCTCATTTTCCTCCCCAGAAACGAGCATATTGCACGCAATGTTCAACCACAACACAAATGCAAGCATATTCTTCTCTCTATTCTTACAAACATGACACACCCCTCTAGCCGCCCTTTCCCATTAAACTTGCCGTTCATCACCTTCTCTGTCCATACATCATTCACCCTCTCAATCTATTGCCCCTTAATTTTGCATGTAGCTTCCATGCCATTGTTTCGTTGTCTCGGACGGTACAAAAAAACCCTACCACGTCACCTTCTTCTAGATCTATTCCTAATCCAAGGAAGCTAAATCTAGTTGAATGACCGTGCGTTGCCCTGAAAAATAAAATTATCTATGAAAACATATATCATAATATCATTATATGGAGTTTGTACATCACATGCTTATGACTATGTTTCTCCAAGCATGCATTTCAATTTCCACCCTCACCAAAATATGTACTTACATGTGCTCCTTCAACCACACGAATACGTCTTATCCCCCCCTCCATGAAATTCGCTTTGCATCATTGTGTTGCACATGTGATATTTAAAAACAAGGAAGCGAGTGGTGTCATCAGCATTAGTCATCTACATTTGGCACTCGGGAAGAAGGCACAATTGGCTTCTCTGACCAGATTTGATTCTATCTAGGTGTTACTCTTCTATATTGACGAGTTCCGTCTGTGAAGCGAATTCTAGGCTTCCTCCTGTTCAACACAGGTACCAAATTTGAGATGCAAAACTTTAAGATGTACATGATTTCTTGCACAAATCCTCTTGCCGAATCATGGAGCTTCAAATTTTCTGTGGACAAAATCATCCGAGTGCAGTGTATTGCAATGCTCGAGTAATAAACATATACAACAAACTTTTGAGTCTATGAATTTATGATAGTGAGGAGTATAAACTATGAAACATAGATTGGAATCTCATGAGGTCAGTACAACTTAAATGAAGTTCCTAAAGAATATAAGTTGAAGATTTCATAACATATCAGTTGGTATTTCAATGATAGTTGGACCATAAAGTTTGCAAGCTAGTTTCCCTTCTAAGAAGGGCCAAATACATTCCTTATAAACAGCTGGAACTCTATGTCCTTAGTAAGTTTCCCGAAAAAAGCGACACTTGCACCATCATGGATGTCCGAGTACTTCGCATGCTATTTCTCCCACCTCCGTTTTTTGTCTCCCCTCCCCTTTCGCAAAAGAAAACGGTTTTACCCATGCATGTTCACCGCTGGAAATAAGCCCCAACTCATGCATGCACATGCTTTAAAAAAAAGCCGGCTGACCCGAAAAGGAAATCTTGCCCACACACTCCGGAGGTGAGCTCGTCCAATCTTGCCACCACTCCATCTCCCCTGATTGTCGTTCTCCACCTTCCCAGCCCTCGCCACTTCACCTCCCCCATCCATGCACCGCTTTTGTAGGCAGCCCCTGTCATCGCCGCCTTCATCGATGGCCCCCTCGCCACCACCACAGCGTGATGCCTTGCCATCATCTCCATGCCCCCATCAGTTGCGTCCACTAATCAAATAGTGGGACCTACAAACAGATTATACACTAAAAACTTAGTACGCAAGATTAGTGCAAACCCAAACCAGATTCAGCGAACTAAACCAAATATAACTCCCAGGCAAAGAAGGGTACCTCCCCATCAGTTCCATAGAGTCACACGATCGACAACATATACAGATTTCCGATCAGATGAGTAGACAATGTTGTGAACCTCCCCAGACCATTCTGCAAAGGGTTACAAAATGGTAGATAGAAAATAGGGATGCATTTTATGTCCTCGTAGAAAGGACATATAGATATAATATATATGTCCAAAAATTTACCTGGAGCATGTACATTTAGAATTTTGTTAGCAACTCACCTGTAGAAGGCATAAAAATTGAGGTCACCAGACACAAAATTAAAAAATACATACACATCATGTATGTTCACGATCATGTGAAGTGAAACAATTTTGAACAATAAACCAAAAAATGACGTGTTAAATTAGTCTATGTTCCCAGGAGGCCAAACAGAAATCAAAAGATGTGATGTTCAGTTTATTTATCTGATAGGAAATGCTCTCTAGTTATATTATTACAGTTATCAGTCTACAAACTGAAAGGCATTGTGCTATTCATGACAGTTCTCTTGAACTTCTGATGCAAGAATGCAAATTCGAATGACAAGAATAGACGGTGCCCCTTAATATAGACCCAAAATTAATTTAGTAAACCCATTGATCACAAGATTTTCCGACAGAAACACGATAGACTTCCCGACCTAGCCCTAGAACGGAACCCGTAACGTCCCCCGCCGCTCGGTCCCCAGCCCGCATTGTCGTGGGCGCCTCCCACACCGGCGGCATCCCTTCGGGGTCCCCAAGATGACGAGCGATCTGGCGCGGCGGAAAGGGCTGGCACTGAGGAGCAGCGACTCGGTCGGGAGCCTGGCCAGCGCCAGCGGCTCCCTCCATCATCGCCGCCCTCGGCCACATCCAACGCGGTTGTCGGCCACGAAGAGGCGGACGAGCCCGGCAGCAGGGTGTTGTCCCTGCCATCGCTTTCATGTTCGACTACTCTTCCTTGGATCGCCTACCACCACAGATGCAGGGATCCTCTTGACTCACACGCCGACCATGCCTCAACCAGCGAGCATCGGCGCATCGCCGGCGCGCTCCTTGTGCTCTCCCTCCTCTCTTCCATGGTTGGCACAAGGGAGGGATGAGACGGGCAGGAGAGAGCCTCTTTATCTAGATCAGGCAGGGGTTAGGTTTGGAAAGAGTAAATCAGCTGGAGCGATTGAGGGAAGGAGATCGGAATGGAGCAGGGCGCGATTGAAGGGTATGGCAAGAAGAACTTTTTTGGAAAGCTTTGATTCTGGTGATAATTACCATATTCGAAATTTCCTTAGTTATAGCCTTACCATACATGGATTGATTTATTACTATAATTATCATATTTGAGATTTCTAAGTTTATATAGCCTTACCATACGTGGATTAATTGTGATTGATTACCATAAACCGAAAGATGACGTGTTAAATTAGTCTACGTTCCCAGGAGGCCAAACAGAAATCAAAAGATGTGATGTTCAGTTTATTTATCTGATAGGAAATGCTCTCTAGTTATATTATTACAGTTATCAGTCTACAAACTGAAAGGCATTGTGCTATTCATGACAGTTCTCTTGAACTTCTGATGCAAGAATGCAAATTCGAATGACAAGAATAGACGGTGCCCCTTAATATAGACCCAAAATTAATTTAGTAAACCCATTGATCACAAGATTTTCCGACAGAAACATGATAGACTTCCCGACCTAGCCCTAGAACGGAACCCGTAACGTCCCCCGCCGCTCGGTCCCCAGCCCGCATTGTCGTGGGCGCCTCCCACACCGGCGGCATCCCTTCGGGGTCCCCAAGATGACGAGCGATCCGGCGCGGCGGAAAGGGCTGGCACTGAGGAGCAGCGACTCGGTCGGGAGCCTGGCCAGCGCCAGCGGCTCCCTCCATCATCGCCGCCCTCGGCCACATCCAACGCGGTCGTCGGCCACGAAGAGGCGGACGAGCCCGGCAGCAGGGTGTTGTCCCTGCCATCGCTTTCATGTTCGACTACTCTTCCTTGGATCGCCTACCACCACAGATGCAGGGATCCTCTTGACTCACACGCCGACCATGCCTCAACCAGCGAGCATCGGCGCATCGCCGGCGCGCTCCTTGTGCTCTCCCTCCTCTCTTCCATGGTTGGCACAAGGGAGGGATGAGACGGGCAGGAGAGAGCCTCTTTATCTAGATCAGGCAGGGGTTAGGTTTGGAAAGAGTAAATCAGCTGGAGCGATTGAGGGAAGGAGATCGGAATGGAGCAGGGCGCGATTGAAGGGTATGGCAAGAAGAACTTTTTTGGAAAGCTTTGATTCTGGTGATAATTACCATATTCGAAATTTCCTTAGTTATAGCCTTACCATACATGGATTGATTTATTACTATAATTATCATATTTGAGATTTCTAAGTTTATAGCCTTACCATACGTGGATTAATTGTGATTGATTACCATAAACCGAAAGATGACGTGTTAAATTAGTCTACGTTCCCAGGAGGCCAAACAGAAATCAAAAGATGTGATGTTCAGTTTATTTATCTGATAGGAAATGCTCTCTAGTTATATTATTACAGTTATCAGTCTACAAACTGAAAGGCATTGTGCTATTCATGACAGTTCTCTTGAACTTCTGATGCAAGAATGCAAATTCGAATGACAAGAATAGACGGTGCCCCTTAATATAGACCCAAAATTAATTTAGTAAACCCATTGATCACAAGATTTTCCGACAGAAACACGATAGACTTCCCGACCTAGCCCTAGAACGGAACCCGTAACGTCCCCCGCCGCTCGGTCCCCAGCCCGCACTGTCGTGGGCGCCTCCCACACCGGCGGCATCCCTTCGGGGTCCCCAAGATGACGAGCGATCCGGCACGGCGGAAAGGGCTGGCACTGAGGAGCAGCGAATCGGTCGGGAGCCTGGCCAGCGCCAGCGGCTCCCTCCATCATCGCCGCCCTCGGCCACATCCAACGCGTTCGTCGGCCACGAAGAGGCGGACGAGCCCGGCAGCAGGGTGTTGTCCCTCCCATCGCTTTCATGTCCGACTACTCTTCCTTGGATCGCCTACCACCACAGATGCAGGGATCCTCTTGACTCACACGCCGACCATGCCTCCACCAGCGAGCATCGGCGCATCGCCGGCGCGCTCCTCTGTGCTCTCCCTCCTCTCTTCCATGGTTGGCACAAGGGAGGGATGAGACGGGCAGGAGAGAGCCTCTTTATCTAGATCAGGTAGGGATTAGGTTTGGAAAGAGTAAATCAGCTGGAGCGATTGAGGGAAGGAGATCGGAATGGAGCAGGGCGCGATTGAAGGGTATGGCAAGAAGAACTTTTTTGGAAAGCTTTGATTCTGGTGATAATTACCATATTCGAAATTTCCTTAGTTATAGCCTTACCATACGTGGATTGATTTATTACTATAATTATCATATTTGAGATTTCTAAGTTTATAGCCTTACCATACGTGGATTAATTGTGATTGATTACCATAAACCGAAAGATGACGTGTTAAATTAGTCTACGTTCCCAGGAGGCCAAACAGAAATCAAAAGATGTGATGTTCAGTTTATTTATCTGATAGGAAATGCTCTCTAGTTATATTATTACAGTTATCAGTCTACAAAATGAAAGGCATTGTGCTATTCATGACAGTTCTCTTGAACTTCTGATGCAAGAATGCAAATTCGAATGACAAGAATAGACGGTGCCCCTTAATATAGACCCAAAATTAATTTAGTAAACCCATTGATCACAAGATTTTCCGACAGAAACACGATAGACTTCCCGACCTAGCCCTAGAACGGAACCCGTAACGTCCCCCGCCGCTCGGTCCCCAGCCCGCACTGTCGTGGGCGCCTCCCACACCGGCGGCATCCCTTCGGGGTCCCCAAGATGACGAGTGATCCGGCACGGCGGAAAGGGCTGGCACTGAGGAGCAGCGAATCGGTCGGGAGCCTGGCCAGCGCCAGCGGCTCCCTCCATCATCGCCGCCCTCGGCCACATCCAACGCGTTCGTCGGCCACGAAGAGGCGGACGAGCCCGGCAGCAGGGTGTTGTCCCTCCCATCGCTTTCATGTCCGACTACTCTTCCTTGGATCGCCTACCACCACAGATGCAGGGATCCTCTTGACTCACACGCCGACCATGCCTCCACCAGCGAGCATCGGCGCATCGCCGGCGCGCTCCTCTGTGCTCTCCCTCCTCTCTTCCATGGTTGGCACAAGGGAGGGATGAGACGGGCAGGAGAGAGCCTCTTTATCTAGATCAGGTAGGGATTAGGTTTGGAAAGAGTAAATCAGCTGGAGCGATTGAGGGAAGGAGATCGGAATGGAGCAGGGCGCGATTGAAGGGTATGGCAAGAAGAACTTTTTTGGAAAGCTTTGATTCTGGTGATAATTACCATATTCGAAATTTCCTTAGTTATAGCCTTACCATACGTGGATTGATTTATTACTATAATTATCATATTTGAGATTTCTAAGTTTATAGCCTTACCATACGTGGATTAATTGTGATTGATTACCATAAATACGTTGGGTATTGTCGGCCAGACGAGAAAGAGAAAAACCGGTGGGAGGGGGTGGTGGGAGGTGGGACGAAGAAAAACCGGTTGAAAAAAAACCGGTTGAAAATAAACCGGTTGAAAGTGGGGGGGACTATTCAACCAATTCGTCCATTAGGAGTAGAGATTCTTAGTTGCACTCTTGAGTCTTACAAGTAGAGCGCATTTGATTTGTAAATACTTGCGTAGTATCCTGTAGTTCCAAAAGAAATTGATGTCATGATGTATTTCTAAACTGCTTCTAGTACTACTTCAGCAGTTATTGTTTGCTGTATACTTTCTCTTGGCTTGGTATCCTACTTCTGCAAATGCTGATTTATCAGTTTCAAATTCAGGGGAGCTTTGGTGATCGCTACACCATATGCTAGTGGCTTTGATCATTTCTTCATCGCAGACCAAGTTCAATTTAAATTTGACAGGTGCTTGAGAAACTTGGTAGAACCTGTAAGTAGTACACTTCAACTATCAACTCAAGGTTTTCTCCACCACTCTAAGCACGTGAAATTTTATTCAGGTGAATGACCTTCCCACATTTGGTGTTGGGCACTCGTTGGGATCTGTCATCCATCTTCTGATTGGTAAGAGTTTAGCATGGATTTGTTAGGAATAAGCAACTTGTATTCCCATGAGGCCATAGGCCGATATATATACATGTACAGGTGTGAAACATATGCAGGAAACCCCTTATACAACGGGATAAATACAAATGGGTACATGACTTATATTATAACTCTAACACCCCCCCCTCAAACTCATGGTGGATGAACAACACTGAGTTTGGAGAGATAAAAGCCATGTTGTGCTCTAGTCTGGGCCTTCGTAAGGAAATCCGCCAACTGTAACTCGGAAGGCACATACTGTAGAGCAATAACCTGATCCTGCACACCAGCGCGCACATAGAAAGCATCAACACCAATATGCTTGGTGAGCTCATGCTTCACAGGATCGCGCGCAATGCTAATAGCACCTGTACTGTCAGATAAGAGCAAAGTCGGTGTAGTGACAGAAACACCAAAATCCTGAAGTAACCACCGTAACCAAGTCACCTCTGCCGTCAAAAGAGCCATTGCTCGCAACTCAGCCTCGGCACTCGAACGGGAAACTGCAATCTGTTTCTTCGTCTTCCAGGCAATGAGAGAACCACCAAGAAAAACACAGTAAGCAGAAAGTGAACGGCGATCTGAAGGATCACTAGCCCACATAGCATCCGAATAGGCCTGAAGCTGTAAAGAACTGGGGCGAGGAAAGAATAGACGGTGAGAGATCGTGCCTCGAAGATATCGAAGAACACGAAGGAGATGACCATAGTGAACCGATGTGGGAGTAGAGACGAACTGACTCAGAATATGAACCGGATAAGAGATGTCCGGACGAGTGACAGCTAGATAGACAAGACTGCCAACAAGATGACGATAACGCGTCGGGTCAGGGAGAGGATCACCATCAGTAGCACGGAGGTGAACATTGAGCTCCATAGGAGTCTCAACGATGCGCTCGTCAGTAAGAGCAGCACGAGCAAGAAGATCCTGGATATACTTTTCCTGGGATTTAAAAAAGCCATCGGAGGTAGAAGAGACTTCAATCCCAAGAAAGTAGCGAAGAGGTCCAAGATCAGACATAAGAAACTGCTCACTAAGACGAGCCTTTACAAAGGCAATATACTCGGGGTCATCCCCAGTGATGATCATGTCATCAACATAGAAAAGAACAAGAGTCCGACCACGAGGAGAAAGTTGAATAAACAATGCTGGATCATGAGCACTGGCTGAAAAACCAGCGGCAGTGACCACAGAGGCAAAACGCTCAAACCAGGCCCGGGGGGCTTGCTTAAGGCCATAGAGAGATCGACGAAGACGACATAGCATGCCATCAGGAACAAAATACCCAGGTGGTGGCTGCATGTATACCTCCTCACGCAGCTCACCATTAAGAAAGGCATTCTTAACATCAAGCTGAGATATAGACCAGTGGCGTGCAGAGGCAACGGCAAGAAGTGTACGAACAGTGGTCATATGGGCCACAGGAGCAAAAGTCTCGTCATAATCACGACCATGCTCCTGCTAAAAACCACGAGCCACAAGACGAGCTTTGTGACGCTCAAGAGAACCATCGGAGCGAGTCTTAACCTTGTAGACCCACTTACAAGTGATGGGACGGACTCCGGGAGGAAGAGAAACAAGATCCCAGGTACCAGTGCGTTCAAGAGCAGCAATCTCCTCTGCCATCGCAAACTGCCATTCAGGATGAACAACAACCTGATGATAAGAAGTCGGCTCAAGAACAGCAGCACCAACAGTTGGAAATCCAAAGCGATCAACAAGCGGACGAGGACGAGAACGCAAGCCATAAGTAGGCTGAAAGGAAGATGACGACTCATCCACAGAGGCATCCACAGGTCGTGAACGACGAGTGTAATGCTGAGGAAAAGATGGAACAATAGAAGGAGGAATCGCCAAGGTAGAATCGGGGGGTGGCGACGAAGAAGTCACCGGAGATGAAGGTGTAGAATCCAGTGACATGCTAGGCGAGGAGACGGGGGAAGATGGTGGCTGCAAATCGACGAGAGGTGGAGAAGCAGAGGGAGTGGAACGAATAAACACAGGCTCGACGGGGGTGATAGGTGAGTCAGGAAAAGTGAGGAAAGAGATATCCTCCACTGAAAAAGTCGAGGAAGATGGGCGTGGGTAGAAGGGACGAGACTCATCAAAAGTCACGTCTCGAGAGATACGCATCCGACGACCGATAGGATCCCAACAACGATAGCCCTTATGCTCATCACTGTAGCCTAAGAAGACACACTCAACAGACTGAGCGATCAGTTTGGTGCGTTCGCGAGGGGCAAGAAGAACATAGCAAACACAACCAAACAAGCGAAGCATCGAATAATTGGGAGAACGATCAAAAAGACGCTCGAAAGGAACAACACCCTGTAGAGCAGCGGAAGGTTGTATATTGATAAGATAGGTGGAGGTGGAGACGGCCTCAGCCCAAAAATGAGGCGGGAGAGAGGCAGTAATCATCAATGCACGAGCCGTCTCAAGAAGATGTCGATGCTTGCGGTCAGCGCCACCATTCTGAGCATGAGCACCAGGACAAGAGAATTGAGAGAGAGTCCCTTGCTCAGCAAGAACACCACGCAACATCTTAGAGATATACTCACTAGCGGAGTCAGCACGAAAAACACGAATGGGTGAAGAGAACTGAGTATGAACCATGGCAGCAAAACGCTTATAAATAGACAACACCTCACTACGAGAAGTCATGAAATAAAGCCATGTGTAACGAGAGAAATCATCTATGAAAATAATATAGTATTTATGACCACCTTTCGAAGCGAAAGGAGCCGGACCCCATACATCAGAATGGACTAAATCGAACGGACGCTTAGACACTGACTCACTATGTGAATATGGTAACTGAATTTGCTTACCAAGACGACAACCCTGACACTCTAAAGAGACATCTCCTGAGACAGACCCCAGAAGACCTCGACGAACTAAAGACGACAACCGAGAACCACACAGATGACCAAGTCGATGATGCCACTGCTTGAAGGAACCAGTAACGGAGGCGACTGAAGCGGAGGAACTGGCGATGGTGGTGGCAGCGGAAGGAACATGAAGCCAGTCCAACTCCCAAAGACCCTGAGAAACACGGCGGCGAGGGCCAGCCCCAACCAGAGTGTGCGTGTGACGGTCCTGGACAGAACAAGAGTCAACGTCAAGGATGATGGACAACCAGAATCAGTAAGTTGACCAGCAGAAAACATATTCATGGTAAGTCGAGGAACATGAGCAACATCAGGAACAGAATAAGGAGTGGTATGATTGCCTCTACTAACAACAGAAAGTGGAGTACCATCAGCAGTGAGAACATGAACAGGAGAATCCAGCGATCGAAGAGAGGACAAAGTGGAAGAATGAGAAGACATATGAAAAGAAGCTCCAGAATCCAGAACCCATGGGATGTACCTGACTGTATAGAGGGTGGTTGCTCAATGCGAGAAGCATCAGTCACAGAACCAGCAGTACCCGCCGAGGAAGAACCTGAAGCCGCGAGCAGACGCTTAAGTCTCAGAATATCCTGCTCAGTCAAAGCAATAGCTGAAGCTGTCGAGGTAGATGACGAAGTCCCTGAAGATGATGATCGCGCCTTGCGCATGTGTTTCCTCTTCGTGTAGCACTGGGACTCAATATGACCATCATTGTTGCAGTAGTCGCAATGTGGACGAGGGCGACCTGAGCCTCCAGAAGGAGTGGGCAGGAGCGGCGGAGCACTCGAGCGAGAGGGGGTCGGTGCAGCAGGTGCCGTGGAAGGAGGTCGAGTAGCGAGCACAGAGGGAACCTCCAGCAAACCAGCACCACGTAAGCGAGTCTCCTCAGCACGAATCTCAGAAAGCGCCTCCATGAGAGAAATACGGCTACGAGCAAACAACTGAGCACGCCGGGGCTCAAACTCCTTACGGAGCCGAGACAGGAACTCGTAGACGCGATGAAACTCCAAATTGGCCTGGACAGCCTGGCAACAGGGGCAAGTACGACAACCAGCACTGTGGAGAGAATCAAGCTGGCGCCATATAGCAGAACTCTGTGCATAGAAGTCATCAACAGTAGAGTCACCCTGCTGAAGAGCATGCTCCTGACGGACCACAGAAAGGTATAAGGCATCAACAGAGGGCTCATAGCGCTGACGAAGACGGGTCCACATCTCAAAGACAGTAGGAAGACCCAGAAACTCATAAGCAAACTGAGGCAGAACACTAGCAGTGAGAACAGCTGCAGCAGGAGCACCATCATCAAGCCACTGGGTATAAACAGACAGAGCACCATGATACGTCTGAAGAGCCTCCTCATAAGCCAAAACCCTCTCTTCATAAGCACGATCAGCAGCCTCATCAGCAAGCTTAGCCGCATCCTTGGCGGCCTGATTAGCATCCGTAGGAAGAACCGGTGGAGTCGGCGGAGTAGGGGCCACCGGAGGAACCGGACGTGGCGGACAGCAGACATCGCCAGAAAGAACACCCCAGAGACGGATGCCACGCATGTGAATGCGCATGAAGCCAGTGAACTCGGTGTAGTTAGTACCATCGAAGATCACCGGACAGCGAGGCACAGCAACATAGCCTGAGGACAGAGACATCGCACCTGGTTTTTTTTTTTTTTTACGGAAAGGAACCAGCAGAGGGTCTGGACGAGAACCGCAGCAGCAGTCAGGGGTGAGATCGAGGATCACGGAGCAGACCAAAAGAATCTGGCGAGCGTGCGTAAACAGCCGGTTGAGCACGCGCTGGCAGCCACACAGGCAGAAGATTGGTCCCGTGCGTGACGGGCTGTGCATGACGGGCGGACGGGCAGATCGATCTGGACCCGTGCGTGACGGCTGGCAGGCAGATCGAGCAGCTCCGTGGGTAGATCGAGCAGCTCCACGCGTGGTCGTGCAGTCAACGTCGCCCTTCCAGCGAGCGGATCAGCAGATCGAGCAGCAGGGGCGCGATCGGGGGTGATGCAGCACGAACGGAGACGTGCGACAGAGGTGGATGGCAGCGGCGTCGGACCAAGAGAAAGACGGGCGGCGCCGTGAGATGGGATCGAGCACGAGTTGCGGCGTGCGAGAAAAAAAAAACTAATGCTCTAATACCATGTTAGGAATAAGCAACTTGTATTCCATGAGGCCATAGGCCGATATATATACATGTACAGGTGTGAAACATATGCAGGAAACCCCTTATACAACGGGATAAATACAAAGGGGTACATGACTTATATTATAACTCTAACAGGATTGAGCTTCAACTAATGAGCTGATTGTCTATGAAGTAACACTTATTCAACCATGGACTCTTATTCCCTTTGCTGTTCAATTAATTGTACATTATGTGGCTTATGCTCCTTCCTGTACCAGGATCAAGATATGCTGTGCAGCGAAGTGGAAACATACTGATGTCATTCAATAACAAGGTGCGTTAATATGACACATAGTTTTTTCAGTCTACCCATCCTTCCCTATGAAATCTCCATAAGTTTAGAGTGTAGGGCCATGACATTCGACCTGAAATCCTTTTTTTTTGGCAATAGTTTGAAACTATTCATAAGTTACTCATATACTCCAGATTTAGTCATTTTACTTGACAACATTGTCCTGCCTATTTTCTACTGGCTAGTCATCCATCAAGACATACAAATGCCAAACTTAAGTGAGAACGTGGCATATCAGATGTTTAGTATGTGATGAGTTACTTGAACATGGCATGCAAATCTTAATGCTACAAACCACTTCACGTCAGATGGCATCTCGTTTTCCTACTTAAAATCAACGAAGGTGGTGCCAAGTGTTTTTGTTCTTCTCAATCTGTCATTCTGTAAAATCCTGCCACTCAAATAAAAAAACTAACTGCCTGTAATATTGCTATTATTCCTTTACAGGAGGCAAGCCTGGCGATTCCATTATTTTCACCTGTAATCGTTCCCATGGCACAGAGTTTTGGCCCAATATTATCCCAGCTGACATCATCTCCAACAATCCGTTTTGGGGTATGACGTGTTCCTGTTTTTCAAGTCAATCTTTTCTTGTATGTCTACGGAATTACATACATTGCACTGTTTTATTTCCATGTTTACACTGTCAATTGCCACCCCGTCATCACTGTATTGTTTTGGAGACCCACTGCCTATGTTACTATCGGCATCTCATATGAACAAGCTCCATGGACCTTTTTAAGTAGCTGTTTCTTGATATAAGCAGCTATTTAAGCAAAATACTTTCTTGTATGTGTATACATGCATGGCTTGCAAGTGTGCGTGACTTTCATCGGACACATATACTACCATATATACATAGAGTTTGCATATATTGATTCATCCAGCTTCATCCTGGCCGCATACCACTGTATTTTTATCTTTTGAGTAAATTTGACTCTGAACCACATAGTTGCCGCCCTGTAGGAGTTTGAATCAGATATATTTTTTGTGACACATTGAACGAGTGCGAAGGGTAAGGAAGCTAGCCGAGCCTAGGAGGATTCGCTTAGGTAGCTGGAACGTAGGGTCTCTGACAGGGAAGCTTCGGGAGCTAGTTGGTGCAGCGGTGAGGAGAGGTGTTGATACCCTTTGCGTCCAGGAAACCAAATGGAGGGACAGAAGGTGAAGGAGGTGGAGGATACCAGCTTCAAGCTGTGGTACACGGGACGACTGCAAATAGAAATGGCATAGGCATCTTGATCAACAAGAGGCTCAAGTATGGAGTGGTAGACGTCAAGAGACGTGGGGACCGGATTATCCTGGTTAAGCTGGTAGTTGGGGACTTAGTTCTCAATGTTATCAGTGTGTATGCCCCGCAAGTAGGCCACAATGAGAACGCCAAGAGGGAGTTTTGGGAAGGCCTGGAAGACATGGTTAGGAATGTACCGATTGGTGAGAAGCTCTTCATAGGAGGAGACCTCAATGGCCACGTGGGTACATCTAACACAGGTTTTGAAGGGGTGCATGGGCGCTTTGGCTATGGCATCAGGAATCAAGAAGGAGAAGATGTCTTAAGCTTTGCTCTGGCCTACAACATGATTGTAGCTAACACCTTAGAAAGAGAGAATCGCATCTGGTGACTTTTAGTAGTGGCCAACACTCTAGCCAGATTGATTTCATCCTCTCGAGAAGAGAAGATAGGTGTGCGTGCCTAGATTGTAAGGTGATACCTAGAGAGGGTGTTGTACTTCAGCATAAGCTGGTGGTTGCTGACTTTCGCTTTCGGATTCGTGTCCAGTGGGATAAGCGTGCCAAAGTCGCTAGAACGAAGTGGTGGAAGCTCAAGGGGGAGGTAGCTCAGGCGTTCAAGGAGAGGGCCATTAAGGAGGGCCCTTGGGAGGAAGGAGAGGATGCGGACAATGTGTGGATGAAGATGGCGACTTGCATTCATAAGGTGGCCTCGGAGGAGTTTGGAGTGTCTAGGGGAAGGAGAAGCGAAGATAAGGATACCTGGTGGTGGAATGATGATGTCCAGAAGGCGATTGAAGAGAAGAAAGATTGTTTCAGACGCCAATACCTGGATAGGAGTGCAGATAACATAGAGAAGTACAAGATGGCGAAGAAGACCGCAAAGCGAGCTGTCAGTGAAGCAAGGGGTCAGGCGTATGAGGACCTCTACCAACGGTTAGGCACGAAGGAAGGCGAAAGGGACATCTATAAGATGGCCAAGATCCGAGAGAGGAAGACAAGGGATATTGGCCAAGTCAAATGCATCAAGGACGGAGCAGACCAACTCCTGGTGAAGGACGAGGAGATTAAGCATAGATGGCGGGAGTACTTCAACAAGCTGTTCAATGGGGAGAATGAGAGTTCTATTATTGAACTGGACGACTCCTTTGATGAGATCGGCATGCGTTTTATGCGGCGAATTCAGGAGTCTGAGGTCAAGGAGGCTTTAAAAAGGATGAAAGGAGGCAAGGTGATGGACCTTGGGAAGGCCTCGGGGACATAGGGATAGTATGACTAACCAAGCTTTTCAACCTCATTTTTCGAGCAAACAAGATGCCAGAAGAATGGAGACGGAGTAGTACCAATCTTCAAGAACAAGGGGATGTTCAGAGTTGTACTAATTACCGTGGAATTAAGCTGATGAGCCATACAATGAAGCTATGGGAGAGAGTCATTGAGCACCACTTAAGAAGAATGACAAACGTGACCAAAAATCAGTTTGGTTTCATGCATGGGAGGTCGACCATTGAAGCCATTTTCTTGGTACGACAACTTATGGAGAGATACAAGGAGCAAAAGAAGGACTTGCATATGGTGTTGTTGTTGTCACCAAAAATCTCAACTACCGAGCCCACATGTTAGGCCGATGTGGCAGCGACTAAGATGCCACATCACCCAACATGGTTTTATGTACTCCCTCCGTCTCAAAATTCTTGTCTTAGATTTATCTAAATACGGATGTATCAAGTCATGTTTTAGTATTAGATACATCTGTATCTAGACAAATCTAAGACAAGAATTTTGGGACGGGGGGAGTATTTCACAACTTTTAGTACAACAGTCTCCTATATTCTGGACTTATGATGACCTTATATTTGTTTTGAGGAAAGCAAACTTTTCTTCCTTACCGTGAAGGCCAAGTTAGTACAAAGTTGGGTCATCTATTTTGGAACGGAGGGAGTACAAGAATAGCATATGCTAATACAGGAAGTCTAAATAATTAACAAGTAATCAAGAATATTATAATAAGCATGATGATGTTTGTATCATTTGAGCTATTTTCTTAAATATTTTTATTAGTGCCACACTCCCAAATACGGAACACGTGCTGCTTTTTCACATTAAGAATAGTTGGGTAGATATCATGTCATTCCCTCTTTCTAAACGTTTGAGCTAAACTTATCATAATTCTTACACAACAGGCTGAAGCGGCTATTAAGCAAATTGAGAATCTAGGCCCTCCTGTTGTTAAGCAACTTCTTCCCTTGATTCAACAACTTCCTCCACTGTATATGGACTTGGTAAAGGGCCGAGAAGACTTCATCCCAAAACCAGAGGAGACACGCCGGCTGGTATGTTCAAACTCTTCTGTTATAGCATTTGAACTGTTTGCATTAAATTTAGGTTAGGTAGTGAAAAGTATATAGTAAGTCCCTTCTAACATGATGCTTTTTATTAACTTTATACTTCATAGAAATACGTAAATTACATCACGTAGAGGTGAAATTTGCTAACATTGTTTCGTAATTTCTCCGGTGTTGTATGACACTGGAAGCATCCTTATCAGTAGCTGTCGATTTGCAATTGTGAATTATCTGACAAAACATTAAATTTATCATCTTAGCAGTAAGCAGAAGAAGTTTTGTTTACAACAATGTACAATGTAGGCCACATATATAGTGTCCAGAAACTTTTACAAGGAATCAACAATTCTCCAAAATGATGGTCCTAATTTTAGCATTTGTCTAATATACAATATCCAGAAGTTTGAGTTGGACATTTTGTTAAGTCTGAAACTTCGAATTTTACTTTTAGTAAACTACATGATATGTTGTACGTACTAGGTAGATGTTTGAACTCGTCATTTTACAACTGCTATCTACTTGCTGATTCACCACTTTTTTGGACAGATAAAATCCTACTACGGAATATCTCGAAATCTCCTAGTAAAGTTCGAAGATGATCAAATTGATGAAACCTCTATCATTGCACAAGTGCTAAGCTCAGAATCTGCCATTAGCTCACTGCTTGATATGTCGATTCGCTCACTTCCTGGGGATCATGGCCTTCCATTGCAACAGGTGCTTTTTTTTCTCTGTCGGGATTCACACAAGTACTGTTTTGGACTCCTCGACAAAGCCATATAGTGCTAGAAATATTAATAGTTCTGCTGAAGACTAGAAGTCGATGTATGAGTTGTTGCTCTTGTTTCAGCAAAGTAATTGTGTGTTGTTGATTCAGGTACTTCCTGACGTTCCACCAGGAATGGCTGATGCAGTAAGCCGTGGAGGTGAACTCCTGGCAAATCTCACAACAGGCACACCATGGGAGGCTGTTGCTAAGGAGGTAGGTACCACTTTTGGCACTGACTCTGGCGTTCGGCGAACACAGGCCCCTGAGGATGTCAATGCACTTGTGGATGTAATTGTTTCATGGATAGCTTCAAATTCTGGCCCAAAACTACTTCGTTCATGATCACCAACAATGCTTGGGGATGTAAATAACACTGTAGAACCGCAGGGTTTACTGACTACTGACGAATTATGAGTAATTGAAATTTTGGGTCCCATGTCAGGGCTATATTCTAATTGCTGAGATTCGTACTGTCCAGGGAAATCAAGTATGAGGGGTATGCAGGAGTATTATAAGAACACTGAAGATAAATTAAAAGAACGTTGAGGGTCATATATAATACATTATGCTTGCGCTGAGCCGCTAATTGTTACGAAATTATCTTGTTGCCTTGTTGTTGTTTTCTTTCTTTTTTGTAGCAATTGCATGTGCACAAAATGCATGCTTCTGTGCCGAGATATACTGCCTGACGTGTGTATTATCTGTGGTTATCATTCTTAGCATGTGTGATGTGTTTTGTTTCGAAAATGCATTAACCTCTGTTATGCTAACGACGGCTGGCAAGAATGCCGACTGGAGCACTGCGCTACCTCATGCAGAGGAAGGCTACACAGCTCAATGTACCTCTAGGAGCGCTGGCGAACAAGTCACCTGACCACAGTGGCGAAGGCAAGAATTCTTTCCTGACTCATCAGATCTTATTTTTGGCCTGCAGTAATGGTGGTAAAGGTTGTAGGTTTATAAGATCCTTGAGTTAGAACATTTATCCTCGTTGCGTGTGAGCTCTTAATTTGAAAATGAATATGATCCTAGATTTTGTCGCCCGGGGTAAGATTTAAACTGTGCAATACTGGGAAGACATTTGTTGCAAGATCACCGTCAAACTAGACTGAATAAACCTGATCTTTTTGTTTTAGATGCCACCTCTTATTTGTTGATGTTCTGTTAACCATTACTCCCCCTAAAGAAATATAAGAGCGTTTAGATCACTACTAGTGATCTAAACGCTCTTATACTTCTTTAAAGAGGTGTACTAAAAGGAGTTGCTTAATGTTCATAGAGTTGGCAGAATACAAGTGTTAGTATTTTCATTTGTATTATTTACACTAAACAAAGTGTTAGATAGCAGGTCCATGTTCAAATTGACCGCCATTTAATAAAGTAACAGCATTATTGTGTTTGTAAGATTTAAATCTCTTGTGACAACAGTCGAGACGTCTTGACCAGTGAAAAAAAACAGTTATACCTGCACCTTCTCCCGAAATACAATAGTTACATACTTCATCTGTAAACATATATAAAACAAATATAAAACGTTTTAGATCACTAAAGGAGTATTTCAGTATGCACTTGGTAGAATTAGTATCGATGCGAATCGGGGGTACATGTAAGGGCAAACTCACACTAGTTCGTAGCGCATTTACATCAACAGATACAAGGAATCCACATTCTTTTTTAGAAAAGGAGGAAGACCCCCAGCCTCTGCAGCTGGACGATGCATACAACCATTTTATTAATTATTAACACAAGACCTTATAAAGTCATACAACAGTAAGACTAAAGCCACCGTCTAAGCAACATCTGTCGCACTCCTATCCAGATGATGAAGGGGCGCTCATAGTCTGAGCCTAATACCAAACAGACCTCGCAGCCAAACCTAACATTTAAGACCTGAGGTCCCAACCAGGACGCCTGTCGGGTATGGGCACCCACCAGTCCGGCGTGCTCCTCAACCAGGACGCCTGCCGGGTATGAGGCCGCCGCAGCCATCTGCCACCAATCCATTTTCAGTGTTGTAATGTTGCATCTACCTTACCCGGTCTAGCTGTCGTCGACGCCACCACGACGCCAGACAATGCCACCATCCTGCGCTCGTCCATCATCACACGCCCACCGACGAGACCCCGCTGCTCCATGCCGATGAGACCCGCCGTTGTCGACGTGCCAGATGCCACGCCGCTCCTCCTTCGCATACACCACCTGCTGCCACTGGTTCCATCCCCTCCGCCCGCAGTTCCTTCTAACCGAGCATCCAAACGCCCCAGACGGCCCCTCCAAGAAAGGTACGACACACGCAGTGCCGCCGCCGCCCAATCTAAGGAGATATTGGATTTTCACCCGGGAATGGGGGCGGAGTAGAGGGCAGGGACCTCGACGGCGCCTGCAAGGAGGAGAACGGCGACCCTGGTCGTCGCCACCGTCAGATAAACGAGTCATCCAGAGTTTCCTCCGGTCCGATGTCATCTCTACCCGTCCCTGCGAACGCACCGAGGCCAACGACCGTGATCGTAAGCCATCCAGTACAACGGGAAAGAGCCTGCAGCGCGAAGGAGATCCACCGGCAACTCACCGCCCGTGTGGTCAAGAGCCGTCCATCCATCCCCCCCCTCACACCGCCCGAGGCCGCCACCCCGACATCCACCCACCGCACACATCCCGTCGAGATATGGAGAAAGACCCACACCGCCGCCACCAGGGAGCAGCACACCGCGAAACCAAGCCGGCAGGATGAGGCAAGGCCACGCCGGCCAGATCCGGGCGGATCCGACAAACCCCGGCCCATCAGCCGCCAGATCGGAGCCAAGGCGGCCGGATCAG